GTGCCTGGTGCCAGTACCAGATTCTGGCTAATTCATTTGAACGATAAAAGTTCCAAGCTATATACACTCAGTAGGTGTTTCCAAAAGTACAGATTGGAAAGGGCATCACTGAGTATCTCTCCATCTCCAGAGGTGCATCAAATATCAACTCAATATATATTAGAGTTTTGAGGGTGTCATCCATTAGACTCTAAAAACCAGGAAGGAGTTTGAGGGAGAACATGGGGAGAATTCAACAGAACGGAACCCAGTATCTATACACAGGCTGACACATTCGCATTAAAAGCTGCTATCTGATGACAGATCAGACAAGAATAAACATATTGAAATGTATTTCAATCTAAACAGGGATTGAAAGAAACATTAGAAGCAGTATAGAGGGGATTAAAATTCACCACATCAGAAATTAAATGATTGTCATCAATGATTGTCAGGACTGGACTAGTGAATCCATATTAATGTGTGGGTTTTGTATTAGGCTACTTTATTGGTAAGTTACTTGAGACAGGTCAGTGTTTACCATATGTGGGATATATCATTGACAAGCTATCAGTCATTCTAAAATGCCACCATCTTTTGGGTTCCCGATAATGCTTTCTCAGGACAAACAAGTATTTAGATAATTAAAAAGTGATATAGGGTCCTACTTGCCTGCTGTAAGTTCCAGTTTGTAAGTTCAAATAAATTTTTACATGGCTTCTAATTAGACTTCCTTGTGGCTAGAGAAAAATTGTTTGCAAAATATCTGACAGAACTGCAAATAAATTGAAAATCCAAGTAAAGTAATGGAATGACATTGTTCCCCAGTTACAATCAATGGGTGTGAAAGCTGGACAGTAAAGAAAGCAAACAGCTAGAAAATGGATACATTTAAAACATGGCGCTGGAGGAGAGCTTTGTGAATACCAGCAGAAAGACAAACAAGTGGGTCCTAGATCAAATCAAGCCAGAGCTTTTCCTTGAAAGCAAAAATAACAAAGCTGAGGCTGCCATATTTGGGACACATCATGGGAAGGCAAGACTCACTGGAGAAGATAATCATGTTGGGAAAGTCAAAGGCAGAAGATGAAAGGGAAGACCAAACATGAGCTGGCTTGAATCCATAAAGGAAGCCACAGCCTTGAACTTAGAGAAGCTGAGTGGAGCTGTCACGGACCGAACAGTCTGGAGGGCTTTCATTCATAGGATTGCCATAAGTCAAAGACTTCAGCACATAGAAGCAACATCTCCTACTTATGGGCTTCAGGATATTAAGATGTTAATTGAAGAAAATTATTAAGTCCCATTGAACACAGTAAGATTTACTTCTGAATAAACACGAATAAAATGTCATTATATAAAACAAATATCTCTTCTCAAAACCATAATTAAACTTAAAGAGCCCATATATTAGGCAGTAAATCCAAAGCTTTTTCATCCACATAAACTATTCATGATAAGGAGCTCCCATGCTAACATCACATCCTTTGCTATGTCAGATAGAGGTGGGACAGCATTTGCTATTTTATTTTTTCCCTTTGATGTTAAACACTCATTTGCATGGCCCAAGGCAAAAACCCCCATGGCCACCACACCTTTGCTTGATCCCACAAAAATAACATTGCAGAGATCCTTCCTTCTCATATACTAATCACAATCTAAGTTTACTTCTATATAGTTCAAAATACTCCACCCATAGATAAGGTAGATGTTGGACAGCTTGAGATTTTCAGAACAGAATACATTGGCTAGAGCAAGAGGAAAAGGGAGGGATACACACACACCCATGAAAGGGTCATTGTCTGAATAATTTACTTCCTGGTTCAAACAGCTATTTTTAAATGTTCCCTAGGAAAGAAATGAGAGTTACCCATAGAAATCAATGGAGAAATCCAAGATTTTAATGTAGTTGGAATTGGGTGCCAATGTGTCCACTCTCAAGGGTGAAAAAGCCACCCTTTCAGAGTTGGCTACAGACATACAATGAAAAGAACATTTACAGATTATTTAGACATACAGGAAATATATGCAGCATGAAGGCAGTCCCAAAAGGGACTACAAAGATGGAATCTATACAAGAAAAGTCTTCATAACCTGTTTGGAGGAAGGGTGGGGTATCCTGTACACAGTATGCTAGAGACACATTAGGACAGAACAATAGGGATTTAAGGTAACACAGAGAATAAACTTCAGGAGCCATAAATAATTAGCATCTTGAAGAGTGTTCCTCCAAACGACAGACCTTTCAGGACAGGAACATTAGCATGTCTAAGGTGCACTTAGGAAGCAAGGCTTGCAACATGGATTCCTAATCAGATCAGATCTTAAGCTTAAAAGCTTTACCTACAGTGCCAGACTTTCAGCAGCCATTGTATGGCAAAGTCTAGCACTCACTGTAAGAGTGGGATTTCATAACCGCAATCTGTGTTCATTAATCTTTGATGTTACTATTGTAATTGTTTTGGTGCACCACAAACATTGTCCATATAAGACACTTAATTGATAAATGATTTGTGTCTTCTTACTGCTCTGTCAACTAGCTGTTCCCCACTTCTTGCCTTCTCCTCAGACCTCTCTATTTTCTGAGACACAACAATATTGAAATTAGGCCAATTAATAACTCTATAATGGCCTCTAGATGTTCAAGTGAAGGGAAGAGTCATACATCTCTCACTTTAAATCAAAAGCTAGAAAATGATTGATCTTAGTGAGGAAGACATGTTTGCCCAGAGGGTCTTGTTTTGGATCATTGGCTGTGGTTTTATAAATCAAATCAATCAATATATAAAGGCTGAGATAGGCTGAAAAGTTGGCGACTTGTAACAGTTAGCCAAGTTGTGAATGCAAAAGAAAAGTTCTTGAAGGAAATTAAAAGTGCTACTCCAGTGAACACACACATGAATGATAAGAAAGTGGAACAACCTTATTGCTGATGAGGAGACAGTTTTAGTGATCTGGATAGAAGATCAAACCAGCCACAACACACCCTTAAGCCCAAGCCTAATCCACAGCAAGGCCCTAACTCTCTTCAATTCTGTGAAGACTGAGAGCTGATGAAGCTGCAGAAGAAAAGTTTGAAGCTGAGGTTGGTTCATGACATTTAAGGAAATAAGCTGTCTCCATTACATAAAAGTACAAGGTGAAGCAACAAGTGCTGATGCAGAAGCTGCAGCACGTTATTCAGAAGATCTAGCTAAGATAATTGATGAAGGTGACTGCACTAAACAACAGATTTTCAGTTGGAAGGAGATGCCATCTAGGACGTTCATAACTAGAGAGAAGTCAATGTCTGGCTTCAAAGCTTCAATGGATAGGCCCCTTGCTAGGGGCTAATGCAGTTGGTGATGTTAAGTTGAAGCCAGTGCTCATTTACAGTTCCCCAAATGAATGCTTAAGGCCCTTAAGAATTATGCTACATCTACTGTGTTTGTGCTCTGTAAATGGAACAGCAAAGCCTGGATAACAGCATATCTGTTTACAACATGGTTTACTGAATATTTAAGCCCAATGTTGTGAGCTACTGCTCAGCAAAAAAGATTCCTTTCAAAACATTACTGCTCATGAGCAATGCTCCTGGGCACTCAATAGCTCTAATGGGGATGTCCACAAGATTAATGTAGTCTTCATGTCTGCTAACACACATCTGTTCTGAAACCCATGGATCAAGGAGTAATTTTAACTTTCAAGTCATTATTTAAGAAATACTTTTTGTAAGGCCATAACTGCCATAGATAGTGATTCCTCTGATGGATCTGGGTAAAGTAAACTTAAAATCTCCTGGAAAGGATTCACTCTTCTAGCTGTCATTAAGAATATTCAAGATTTGTGGAAAGAGGTCAAAATATCAACATTAGCAGGAGTTTGGAAGTAGCTGATTCCAACCCTCATGGATGACTTTGAGGAGTTCAATATTTTAGTGGAAGAAGTAACTACAGATGTAGAAGACATGGCAAGAGAACTAGAATTAGAGGAGGAGCCTGAAGATGTGACTGAAGTGCTGTAATCTTCATGATAAAACTTCAATGGATGAGGAGTTGCTTCTTATGGATGAGCAAAGAACGCAGTTTCTTGAGATAGAATCTACTCCTGGTGAAGAATGTTGAAATGACAAGAAAGGGTTTAGAATAGAACAAACTAAATTGATAAAGCAGCTGCAAGGTTCTAGAGGATTGACTCCAATTTTGAAAGAAGTTCTACTGTAAGTAAAATGCTATCAAGCAGCATCACATTCTACGGAGAAGTCTTTTTGTGAAAGGAAGAGTCAATCGATGTGGCAAACTTCACTGTTGCCACAGCCACCCCAATCTTCAGCAACCAGAACACTGTCGATCAGCAGCCAGCCAGTCACAAGGCAAGGCCTTACACCAACCAAAAGATTACAACTTGCCGAAGACTGTGATGATGGTTAGTATGTTTTGGCAGTATTTTAACTAAGGTATGCACACTTTTTAGACATAATGCTAATGCACAATTAACAGATCACAGTAGAGTATAAACATAACTTTTATATGCACTAGGAAAGCAAAAAAAAATTGTGTGACTCCTTTTATTACAATATTTGCAAAAATATTTGCTTTACTGCAATTGACTGAACCTGCAAGATCTCTGAAGTATGCCTTCAATGATCACATAAAGTAGAATAAAAGTATTCTAAGTCTGTTGTGTGAATGCAGGGTGGACGGGAGGTAGTATTTGGAGTAGTGAAGCCAGGCTGACCACACGATGCTAAGGAGCAGAGGCTGACCATGAGGGAAAGTGTCACAGAAAACACACGTGCATGCCTGGCAGCCACATTTTCTTTGGTGGTCCCCACCGGTGACGTAACTCTACCTGCGCCGCGGCCACCCACCCACATGTTCGATCCGCGCGCTCTTCGGTCGGACGGTAGGGGGAGCGCGTGGGCCATCCGGCTCGTAGAGACTACATGTCCCAGAATGCTCCTGAGGCGGCAGCAGAAAGAGGACGAGACGTGGTGGGCGGGGTGTTAGTCTATTAGCAGAAGCGGAAACAAAAGACCATCAATTGAGAGCGGAGCGGCACCTCGGCTTCGGCCTTAACACGCCCCGCGAGAGCCCGGCCCCCTCCTGGAGCAACCAACGCCGTTGTCGCCGCCTCCTCCTCCTCCTCCTCCTCCTCCTCCTCCTCCTCCTCCTCCTATTTACCCTCCCCCCCCACAGCTTCCCCAGACCGGCCCGCCCGCATCCCCGGCTCCCCATGGCGCTGAAGCGGATACAGAAGGTGAGGACACCCGAGTGGCCCGGCCCGGCCTGCCTACCTACCGTCCGTTGGGAACCGGGTGAGCGGGGAGCTGCCTGGCCTGGGCTTAGTAGCAGAGAGTGGGAAGGGCTGGGTTCGGCTGCGGGGAGGTAACTCTCGCGATGGGGGCAGAGGGAACAGCAGGAGTCATGGCGGGTGGGGAGGGGAGACGGCCTGTGCGAAGGGGCTTCAGGGCGAAGGGTCTGTGGAGACCCTGCGCTTTCTTTTCGTTTTGAGGTCAAGCTAGAGAGTTCCACTGACAATTTCCCGTCATTTTGCACAAGCCTCTGTTTACTGGGATGGTTTGGCAGATGTTTGAGGTCATGCTTTGAGTTAGCCTTTTCGAAGTGTTCGAAACAGATCCACTTCTTACCTTCTCAAACCTTGGCAGAACACAACGGTACAGCTTTCCCTGCGTTGTAACACTTCAGGCTGTGGTGGTCCAGTTGTGTGTATTCTTGCAAATCAGAAATGCAGAGCACTGATACATTGGAGGGTTTAGCCTACCTGTATTCTTCCATAGTGCTAGCATTGGCCAAACACCAGAACTACGCTTCCTTAGAGTATATTGCTTGCTTGCTAGTTGGGGAGTCATGTCCGACCCATCACTACCCCATATTGTTACAAGCTGCTAAATGTAGAAACTGGCATGAAAAGATGCTTGAAAGAAGCATGCTGAAAGATAACAGTAACTGTTGCTTGTTTCAGCAGCATTGCTCCAGTGGTCTGGAAACTATTTTCCTCCATTGCTGATGGAGTGCAGGAGAGCTTATGCTGCATTCCCCCCACCCACCCCCGGAGCAGGTCAGTTCTGGAGAAATGGAACTTACCCAAGTATAGGGAAAGCTGTAGTCTGGGTTCTGCCTGCATGGCCTGGGCTTCTAGCACACCTTTGCTAGGCAGGACAGACTTACTGCAGTGGCTCCCATATCAGTGTGCTAGCATGAATACTGGACCTAACTACCCTATGTTCAGGTTACTTAAAGTGTGTTAAAAGGTGGCCTTCTGCATCACCATTCACCTTGCAGCTTGGCTGAAGGAGCCCTTAATAGAGATTGGGAGCATGGTGTTTGCAGCTCTTCTTGGCTGAGGGTAGGGAGGGAATTATTGTGGTTTAGAATAAAAGACTGCAGTTTTGCATATTACTGCTCTAAACATTTGGGGTCTGGAACCTGCCATGCTGAACAAACAATTTGTGGGCAGTTAGCATCCATCTAATTCTGAGATGCCACTGTTCCCCCAGCCCCAAGATACAGTAGTCATTGGTTTTCTTTTGCCAATTTGTAAGGTTGGTTGGGGGCTTTTCCTAACTTGATCACCTAACCTGATCTTTGCAGGAATGATATGCTTTAGTTCTTGTTCAGTAGTCTTAGGAAAAACAAAGTGAGGTTGATTTAAATGCTGTAATTTGCTGTTGTCTTCAAGTGAGTATTAATACTCTATTAAAAGCTAGGCAAGATAAGATACTGAGCAGCCGAATGCTTGCCAAAAAGGAAACTCAGATGTTACTGACAACAGCTGTGAATAATTGGTGTCATTGAATGCTATTTGTTTGGAATAAAAGAAGAGAAAATTAACACCATTTCAAAAATTGTGTTTGACCTGGTATGACAGCAGACTGGTTAGACTTGTGAGAAGAATTAGGAGATTTTTGGCTCAGATTGCCTCCTGAGGTGATGCTGCATTCAGATAGATGTATTGACTGTCAGGATATCCAGCACACAGAAAAAGAAGTGCTACTTCACACAGTGCACATTGTTTTAACAGATTTGTTCCTGTCTCAAAATGTTGCAATGGCCAGAGGTTTGGATAGCTTGAAAAGAGAATTGCATAAGAGAGTGAGGCAATTGATAGCTAAATGCTACTCAAGGATCAGAGGTGGTATGCCTCTGAAAGCTAGTTGCTGGCAAATAAACAGCAAGAGAGAGCTATTGCCCTTACGCCATGCTTGTGGGCTTCCTTGAGGAATCTGATTGACCCTTGTGGAAAACAGAATATGGGTCTAGAGAGAGCTTTCATCTGATCTAACAACGTTCTAATATTTCTTCATCTTTACCATGTTGTGCTGAAAACAGCTTATTACTAAGGGCATTTACAAGTTATGCCTAAGCACATTTATCTGGAAGCAAGCCCTGTTGCAACAATAGGACTTGTTTCAAAGGTAAGATGGTTATGGATGGACCCTTACAATGCCTTCAGTGTAGGAACTCACACAGAATTGCCACCAAACTATTTAGGGTGGTTAAAACCAAATGGAACTGTGAGGATCTCCAAAGAGATCTCTTCAGGCTGGAGGAATAGGCACCGGAATGGCAAATGCAGTTCAGTGTAAGCAAGGGCAAAGTAATGCATGTAGGGGCAAAAAAAAATCCCAGCATCAAGTGCAGACTGGTGGAATCTGAGCTCGAGTCTTTGATCAAGAAAGGAATCTTGAGGTGGTGGCAGCCAGCTTAATGAAAATGTCGACCAAGCATTCTGCTGCTTTGAAGAAGGCAGACTCCGTGTTAGGCATAATTAGGAAAGAAATTGAAAGTAAATCTGTCACCGTTGTACTCCTTATACAAATCTTTGATGTCATCACACTTAAAACATTATGTACAGTTCTGGTTGCCACACCTGAAAAGGGACATTATTGAATTGCGAATGTGCAGAGGAGGGCAACTAAAATGATCAAGGGGTTGGAGCATCTCCTCTATGAGGAATGGATAAAACAGTTGGGACTGTTTAGCCTAGAAAAAAAGGTGAGTAAGAGGAGGCAAAATAGAGGTGTTTAAAATTATGCATGGAAAGTGGAATCTGCATATCCCATAATAATAGAACTTGGGATCATCCCATGAATCTAATTAGTAGGATGTGTGGGTCTGATAAAAGGAGGTACTCTTGCCGCAGCACATAGTTGGAATTCACTGTCTTAGGAAATAGTGATGGCCACTAATTCACTGGGTTTTAAAAGGGGATCAGACAGATTCATGAAGAAGACTGTCAATGGCTGTTAGTCTTTTTGCCTCTGTACTACAGCTGTTATCAGAGGTGTGGAGCTTGGGCAGGTGGATGGGAACTCCTGTCCTGCTTGAGGGATCCTGTGTCCATCCGGTTTGCCGCCATGAATGGAGTGCTGGAGCAGAAAGACAGAGGGTCTGATCCAGCATGGCCATTCTTATTTTCTTATGCTATTAATGCAGTACTTGAAACTGAGTTTTTAAAAATGCAGTTGTGCATTCTAATTAGAGATGGGCAGAAAGAGTAAAACTGTGGCAGACTTACTCAGTTCATTCCAGTGAGGAGTTGGTGTGCTTATCAGCCTTGCATCTGGTTGTGGGGCATGCTCTGGATCCCAAGAAGGAAGGTAAATATATCTAACAGGAGAAAGGAAGAAGCAAAGCTCCCCATCCCTGGGTGACAAGGCATCATTTTGGGGTTAGGTAAGCACAGCCAGTGTGTCTGTATTCCTCCTTATTCCAGGGTTTCTGATCAACAAGAGTAATCTTTAGGATGAGGGACACAAAACCACACTTCACCTCCTGGTGTTTCTGTAATGTGCCCAGAACTAGAAAAGTGCTAGAAAAGCAGCGGTTCCCTGCCCACTCTAGAGATGCTTTCCATTCTGTTTCAAGCTGCAGTTCTTGCTTGGATTCTGATGGAAATGGAACTCTGTCCTATCCTAGACTGCTTATTTACAAATGCAAGCCACATAGGAGATCAAACTGTTTGCAAAATGCCTTATTCCTCTTTTCTGCTTTCTTCTAACATTCACTTTACCCATCAGTAAGCCTTGGTATTCTTGCAGTTGTGGGTGAAGGCTAATTATATTTATTTATTTAGAAAGCTTGAATCCAATTTGGGAGAAGGAAACTATCTAATTTTTCTGGCTAGACTCTGACCCATTCTCTTTGCCCTAATCATTCAAATGGAATCTCACAGGAAGCAAGCAAGTCTGCAAGACTGATTTGTGTACACCGAACACTGTGCAAGTGTGGTTCTGCTTCTGTACATTTAACTTGTGAGTTTTGTATACCTCATGCAAGAATTCAGTGCAAAGAAGAGTTCTACTGATGTTCTTATTTATTATTTAAAGTTTTTGTATGCTGTTCAATACTAAGTCTTTGGACGACGTACAAAAACCAAAAAACAAAGCAATGAAATGCAACACACAACACACTGCATTCGGTAAATAATGATAAAATCAAGGATAAAGCCAATTTACTGTTAAAATATTGGGAAAATAAAAAGGTATTTTCCTGACATCAAAAAGAATAAAGCGACAGTGCCAGACGAACCTCCCTGGGGAGCGTGTTCCACAGTCAGGGCACCACTACTGAAAAGGCCCTTCTCCAAGTAGCTCCCCTCCTAATTTCCTTCAAAGAGGGCTCCCGGAGAAGGCCCTCTGCCTCATGTCTCAAGGGGTGGGCAGGCACATAGGGAAGAAGGTGCTCCTTCAGGTAGTCTGGACCCAAGCTTTTTAGGGTCTTATAGGTCATTACCAGCACCTTAAAGTGGGCCCAGACTTCAATTGGCAGCCAGTATAGATGATATAGGACTAGCGTGATATGGGAGTATCTGCCAGTCCCCATTAATCTGGCAGGTCTGTTCTGGACCAAATGAAGCATCCGGACTGTCTTCAAGGGCAGCCCAACACAGAGTGCATTGCAGTAGTCCAAATGGGAGGTTACCAGAGCATGGGTTGCCATTGCCAGGCACTGCTTATCCAGGTAAGGATGCAGCTGATGTATCAGCCGAAGCTGAAGGAAAGTGCTCCTCACCACTGCCAGCACCTGGTGCTCCAGAGACAGGTCAGGGTACCCTGTCCTTTAAGGGGAGTGCAACCCTGTCCAAAACGGCAAAAAGCACTCGCCTGGAAGGATGAACCACCTACTGACAGGACCTCCATCTTGTCTGGATTAAGCTTCAGTTTATTGGCCCTCATGCATCCCAATACCCTGGTCAGGCACCGATTAAGGACTGACACTGCCTCACTGGATTAG